GGGTTTCTGAGGTGATATCACTACGGAAGTAGATTGCCCACCCTTCCTTCCGAGGAGTGGCTGGTGGGTTTGAACCGCCAGCCTCTGGTTAGCAGTCAAGTGCCTTAGGCACTATGCTACCAGAGCTCCCTATTAATCTTCAATTAAGGTTCTCATAATGTTTTGTGGTATCCATTTGTTTGTTGTCCTTGTGATCTTCAAATCCTTTGAACATATTTTAATTTGTTTTTGGCGGTCCTCTGTATTTCCTACTATCCTTACTTCCTTGGGAGGGATTTCTACCTCTTCATTCTGTTCTTTAAATTGGACCCTCTTCTCTTACTTTCTTGTATGTCTTACCAGTTTTTGTTGAACCTTGGGCATTTGAACATTTTGTTGTGGTAATTTTGGGTTTCAGATTCTTCTTCTTCCCCAAAAGGGTTTTTTGTCTGTATTTACTTATTTATTATTTCTTGTTTCCTCTAAGTTTACCTAGAAAGTGCTCTAGTCTGTGGTTCTTCTGGCACTTGCTTAGCATTTTGTCAGAATTACTATGTTGATTCTAAAATCCTATAACATGGGGGAAGGGTAGGAAGTCCTTTGTTTGGTTTGGTGCAAGCCAAGCAAACTGTTGGTGCTTGTAGCCCTCCCATTTCCCCAACCAAAACAAGTCTCCAATCTGATTTCAAAGCCTTCAGGTAGATCCTCTATGTTTTTTTTTTTTTTTTTTGACATGGTATATACATCTTATTTCTTCTCATTTTGAGTAATGCCACATCAGCAAATGAAGGTCCCAAAAAGCCTTACTCCATCCATGTCCTTAAGGTGGGTTCTACATTGAGGAGGCAGTTCTTCTCTAGTTATATTTGTAGTGCCTTCTGACCTGAGGGGCTCATCTTCCAGCACTATGTCAGCACAGTTCTGCTGCTGTTCATAAAGTTCTCAAAGCCTAACTTTTAAAGAAGCAAAACACCAAGTCTTTCTTTCTAGTCTATCTTGGTCTAGAAGCTCCACTGAAAACTGTCAATCATGGGTGACCCTACTGGTATTTGAAATACTGGTGGCATAGCTTTGTGCATCACAGGAACATACAAGCCACCACAGTGTGACAAACTAACAGATGAATGGTAGACATTTCCTTGCTGTCAGTGATAGGATAATATCCATATGCCTACAAGGAAGACTAGTTAATGTGACTATTCAAATTTATGCACCAACTACCAATGCCAAAGATGAAAAAATTGAAGATATTTTCCCATATCTGAAGTCTGAAATTGATCAAACATGCAAGCAAGATGCACTGATAATTACTGGTGATTGGAATGTGGAAGAAAGATGCATAAGTAGTTAGAAAATATGGCCTTAGTTATAGAAACAATGCCAGAGATAGCATGATAGAATTTTGCAAGACCAATGACCCAGTCATTGGAAATACCCTTTTTCAACAACATATATGGTGACTATGTGTGTGGCCCTCACCAGAAGGGATACACAGGAATCAAATTGATTATATCTGTAGAAAGAGATGATGAAGAAGTTTAATATCAAGGTCAGGGGATGACTGTGTAATTGACCATCAATTGCTCATATGCAAGATCAAGTTGAAGGTGCAGAAAATTAAAACAAGTCCACAAGAACCCAAGTATGACCTTCAGTATATCTCACCTGAATCCACACATCATCTCAAGAGATTTGATGTATTGAACAGTAATGACCAAAGACCAGATGAGTTGGTGAGTTATATGAATGACATCAAAGATATATGCGGTGTAGTAAATTACT